GCTTGAACACATTTTGGGCCACATTTTTCTGATGAGTATTTTGTTTCCTGAGTCTTCAAAGACATGAGGTGCAATGCTAAGAAAGGCAGAAGATAAAGTTGTGGATTCTTTTTTGACATGCAGGGCAACTAATTGCTAAAGAGAATAAGCTTTTGAATAGCCTTGACATTTTCACTGAATGCACACCTGCAGATTCTGTAGTTTTCTTCCCTCATTTCTAGGATGTGCCTACAGAAAAGAGGAAGACAAGGCCCTTTTTCAGGGCTCTGACCTTCAGAGAGAAATGGAAAGATGGGGGTCAGCTACCTATGTACCTGCATAAAAGAGATAAATCAAATTCTCTGCTCCAGAGGGAACACATGCAGGGTGTCCTCCATATGCAAGCAAGGAGAGGTTGAGAAAAAGGCACTGTGGTGCATATACCTTTCACCAGGCAGCCTAACAAATGACACATTCTGGAAATTTAAAGTCTCTGTGATTTTATCTACAGTAAACTTTTTTTTTTTTTTTTCTCTCCCCTATTCATTTCTGAATAGAAGTGAAAGAGAAAAAACATAAGGGTATTTACCCATCTGCAGTACGAACCAAACTTATAGCTGATTTTATGAGGTACAAAGCTCCAATGAATGAGACATTCAACTGTTTAAGCCATATATGCAGAGTGCCTGGAAGCCACTGTTATTTCTTAGGGAAATAAACTATTAATACAAAATTATTGATATGATAACAGTATAAAATAATATACAAATGTATCAGACAAAAGCTGTACATATCACTGACAGTGGAAAGTGGCCATGTGCATATAAGCAGAGTAAGCAACAAGCTGCGTTTGCCTACGCTGAACCAACAGGATATTAAGAGCCAGAAATACCATCCTTTCTTCTAACACCATCCTGCTATTTATCTTGCCAGACAAAATTAATTAATGTGAAAATTAATTTTAAAAAGGGCTTTCTAAAGAGTTTTTTTTTCCCCCACTTAATTGATTTTACTTTCACTTTCCTTTCTGTTTCCTCTCCTTGAAAGAAGCGCTACAGGCATTAGAGGAGGTACCTTAATACCAAAATTATCCTAGAAAATAAGCGTAATCACACACCCCAAGTTTTTCAAAAAGGAGGATGTAAAATATGGCATATTTTGGCAAATGCAAGGAAGAAATATCTTGAGCTGGAGTAGCTGGAAACTTTTCTTGAGAAACTCCTGTTTTGTCCTTTTGTTTTACATATTTTTTGAGTTTCATATAACTTAGATGCCGGCTTCTTCCCGTGTTGTGACAGTTCATACATTAGGTTAAGTTCCCCACAAAACCATTCAGACACAGAGCAGTGATGCAGCTGCAGGACAATGCTGAGGAGTAGGAGGATTCCTCGATACTCAAGCACTGCTGCTTTGCTCCGTACTCCCACAGTTCATTTGTGTCACAGACAGTGAACAGGAAGATTTCTTCATCCTATGAAAATGGGACAAAACCAGCTCTGCAGACACAGGGCAAAAACACAAGCCTGACTTCTGAGCCTCATTTCAATGCATTCTTTAATTCCACGCCTCTGAGACCTTGAGCACTGTGACAAGAGAGGCAGCTCAGCTTTCAAAAAGCACAGGAGGACTGAGTGGGTGAAAAAAAAATAAAAGCAAACCATCTGATAAAAGCATAACTCAGAGACTGGATAGAAGCCAGGGAAGTGTAGCAAAGTGCTGATTGCAAAGCGATAGACAGAGGTTTCCATTTCACACACTGTCATTATAATCTTGCGGATCCAGTTCCACAACATCATGACAAATTCCTCCTACAGAGAGGAATTAGAAAGGAGTGAAAGAGGAGAAATAACTACACAGCCCAGGAAAGGAAACATAGGAAGGGGAGGGAGCATTTGTTTATGCATGCAGCAATTTACAGCATAGAGATATTCCATTCACAATCTGAACTCTCATGTTACTGAAGGCAAAGACAAAAGGGCAAGATAAAACTGGAAAGTGTCTTGGAGTAGCTGGATGACATGTTCCATTTCCAGATATAATTGACACAGACTAAATTCCAAGAGTGCAAGTGCCAGGAAACTCACAGAGCTGTCAGACAATCAGAAGATCCTCTTATGACTCACTCTAATCCTCTGAGATAGCTGCCTGTCTCTTGTGAAGAGCCAGAGCCCTTCAGAGAAGAGGACGATGACATAACAAATACCTCTGTTGCCCAGCTCTTAGGAGCCTCTATATGCTCTATATGAAAAAATTTCAATTTCAGTCTATCTATGGAGGTACAATTGAGAAAATGCTATAGCTCAAAATCCTCAAAAAAAAAAAAAAAAAAAAAAAAAAATATATATATATATATATATATATATATATATATATATATATACACATCACTGGGAGTCTTGCCTTGAATGGAAGCAAAAGCATATTGTAACACTAATTGCCACAGAGCGTTGTTAATAACTGAAAAATAAAATCAATGACAAGGGAAAGGGGATGTTTGGATCTCTGTTTTGGGTTTTTTTTTCCCCATAGGAAAAATAGAGAAATAAAATGCAAAGAAGGAAGAGAAGTTCACCTTAAGGCTAAAAGCTATTCCTGTGCTTCCTTCTGTTTATAAAACAAAACTTGAAAAATACAGAGGGGCATAAAAGACATCACGGAGAAGCTGAAGGAGAAGACAGAAAAGCAGATGTCACACCTGAGAAGAAAGGAAGTGACCAAATGGTGGGCAGAATGAAAAGTAAAGTCATTGTTCTTGTCACTTGCGCTGTTTCATCTCTAGCAGTAAGATACAGTGTTCATGTGTTCATATGTATTCATATTCCCTAAGAACACTCCAGACTCTCCACTGCTGTACTCTTAAAAAATGCGTCTTTAAAATGATAATAATTCACTAAATACTTACATCAGACTTAATTTCATTTCAAGATTTCAACTGAACTGGAATAGAAAACCTTCATTTTCTTAGTAAAACTTTGCACCTCATAAAGGTTTTATCTGTTGCTATGGCACAGGTTTTACCCAAAGGAGTTACTTGCAGAACAGCACAAGAAGGGGGAATTTTTCAGTTCCTTTCACATACACATTTTCATACCTCAGATATTTTAATTTAGTTGTATTTTTCGTTCATCCTTTAGAGAGTTTATTTTATTTCTGAATAAGCTGCATGTCTACCTCAGCAGCATAGAGGGATTCATTCTTATCCTCCTCCCCACTGTAAATCAAAATCTACTTTTAATTACAGAATATCAGCTATTTCTCTTTGATGATATTCAAGTGCTTATTCTAAATTGAAAGAGCAATAGAGCAACTGCCATGGTATTTTCATACATAGAGCAATGACCTTTTTAATATGATTTCTTGGAAACAATGGAAGTACATTCATCAGGTTATACAGAAATTGGTGCTGCTTTTCTTTTTTTCCAGACATTCCACTTTCAATTCACAATGACATTTGATAAGAGACATAAAAATGTCAATAGATCGGCTTTTTTCTTTTTTTTTCCTCCAGCAACCTCATCTGACAAGAATTCCCCCATCCCTGTTTCTTTTTTACAGCACTATGTTGTTCACTCATTTGGACCTACTTCAATTCGCTTATTAAATATGTAAGATCTTCATTATGCAACCAAGAGTTGAATCATGTAAGATTAAAACAAAGCCCGAATGAGAAGATTCTTTTTTAACATTATTAATATTAATAGTATGTGCAGCTCACATATTTCTGTGCTTCCCAAACCCAAATGTCAATACAGTGGATAAGTTGTATTTTCCTTTCTCATCTTGTCTTCTCTAAAAAAAGGATGACATTCAACTTAAATAAAAGCAAAAACTCACACATTTCCTCACAGCTAAGTTCCATTTCTGAATCCAAAGATTCATGGTTACGATGGACTGCCTAGCTACTGATACAAGAGAAAGGGTAACCTGAGGATATAGCTAAAAGCATTTCTATTCCTTGTATTGACTTGTGCAACTTCATAAATCACACGGTTCATACACAAGTAGAGGATTTTGCTAACGACCTAATGGGCATTGTTATGTTTTACTAGAAGGAACCTGGTCTTGAATCCTTGCAGGGGACTTGAGGAAAATTGAGATGCTTAGATGGTACACAAAGCAGACAAGGCAAGGTGAGGAGGAGCAGCTTCACTGCTTAATCAGTATGCAATCATGGAAGAAAAATCCATCTTAAATCTACTCTTGTCAGACTTTACCCTGAAACTTGCTCCTGAGAGGCTAGCTTAGACACTCTTTTTTCATAGAGCTTAACACACCTCAGTCCTCTCTTTCCAAGAGCACATGGAGGAGGAAGTATTACATACTTCCCCTGGACACACAGTAGCTTTAGCAAGTGAACGTTCACTCAAAAAATGGCTTCAGTTTTTTTTCTATGTTCTGCCATGACTCAAAGTCGTATCTCCTGGAGAAGATACAGTGAAACATTTTAACAATTATTGTGTTTTTCCACACATCCCCATCCCATCTTTTGACTTTTTTTTGATTACCTCCTGCTTTCACAGACTACAGCATAACTGTGGGATCTGCTCTTGGAAGGCAAGGATAGAAAGCAGAGAGAGCCTGGCTCTACTTCAGCGCTCTTGGTTCTGAGGGCCAGACTCCTGAACAGCTTTATTGGCAATATGCAAACAACCTTCTTGTCCCTATAGAAAGAGTTCTCTCCTCCCAGAGAGAACTCTCTGGAGAACTCTCCTCTTTCCATTTCTCCTCCCAGAACAAACTTTTACCACCAGACAAAATACAGAACCAAATGTTAAGGCTTCTTCTAAAGAACAGCCTTCCCTTCTCCCTAAAGGAGAGAGAGCTGTTAACTGGCATGCAGAATCCTTCTCTCTCTCACCTCCTGTTTCATGATCAATTAATGTGAGTGCATATATATAAATATATATATAATATATGTGCGTGTGTGTGTGTGTGTGTGTGTGTGTGTGTGTGGCTGTGTGTATGTGCTTTCTTTTACAGGGAAACAGTTTCAGAAGTGGAAGACCTTTATGGTCTCATACCTGTGTCACACTGCAGGGAGAGAAGAGGCACAGAATAGCAACTGATAGAGGCAGGAACTGAAAGAATCTGATTATTCTCCTTACTTCAGGTTTTCTATAAAGGAGAAAAAAAGTATAATTAGCATGTCCATCTCCAGTTACATCTTAAAAGAAAGTGAAAGTACTATTGTGATCTCTGGAGGATTTACTCTATGTTCACATTCTGTGACACTGATAATAAAATTCATAACATTCAAATTTATATTTCAAGTCCAGAGCCCAGCAGAAGAGAACGGAAGTTCACTGAAATCATGTTGGATGTACAGCACTGAAGCTGTAAAAGAATAAAAATACTTTGAAGTATTATAGAGTTAATCCTAAAGCTGTCAGATAGGTCAAGATGAGACAGTTCTCTTAATTCAAACTGATACCAAGTGACAACTTGTGCGTAGCTTCTACATTCAGAAGTGACCAAAATGACTTCCTATTCAGACAACTTGCTTATTGCGGAACAGATCATTCTTCCAAGTTTAATGTTTTCAAATATTGTTGCTGGTGGGCTTTTTTGTTATAGATATTCTTCTTTTCTTTCTTGATCTCTTCTGCTTCTGACATACAGGAGTGTCAGGACTAGAACTAAACATTTTGAACAGAAGAGTAATTTAAAAAATATTCACACTGGGCACAAGACGCATTGGCATTGTAAGAAAGGGTCTTTTCACGTAATAGTTGCTTAGGACACTCTCAAGATTTTAAGGGTAAGATTTTGATAAAAAATAAAACATTCAAAAATCGATTTACTTTCACTCTATGCTGTGAAAGGGAACTTTTATTTATTTAACCCATTGGGACAACTCTTGATTTGAGGTGGCTATGGCTTGAACTTGAAGATAAGTAAACAAGGAAAGAAACTCTCTTCTGTGACGAAAATAAGTCTTTACAGTGCATATACATGTAAACTAATCTGTGTTCTCGGAGTGACTCAAAATCAATCACATTTATAAGCATCTTGTGACCTTTACCCATTTCCCTGGAAAAGAAATAAAATGAAGACAATGGTACCTTAGTTTCCACAGTGTTGTCTAGGTGCTTGATTGGAAACAGACTGGAAAATGATACAGACAGCTAGATAACAAGAAAACCCATTTATCACTGTGACAGGTACTTGGTTTCATATAAGTTTAAATAACCAGTGATGGAGTGGGGTTATCTTTCTCTCGTCTCAACCTCATAGCCAATGTTTAGACTCAACTAAAGTTTCCACTTCATAGTAATCAAGTTACAAGGGTTCAAATTGTTATTCATGAATTCAAGGAGGTTAAAGCTTGAGATTCATTAATGCAGCATTGTCAGCAGCAGCAAGCATGTCCATGGCCTAGAACAGTGTGGTGATTGGTAAATCTGAATGCTGGCTGGTTAATGGCTGTTTATTAGCCTCTAATACATTCTGCGTTACAAGATTTGACATTAGATATTCCTACTGAGCCACAGCATCCTGGCAGTTCACCTTTCTTGTACGTCAGTGGACACGTGTCAGAGCTTAACTGTGCCGTGGAGAAAAAGGAATACAATTCACCACTCCTTATATATATATACTTGCATATATTCTGCCATGCAGTGTGGTCTTCCCCATTTAAACACTGAGACTTAATGAACACTACAGCCCTGAAACACAGAGCATCACTTATCAACAAGAATATATCAGGCAGTGTCACTTCTCTCATTTCTGTGTGTGTTGAGTAACTACAACCTATTCTGGTGTATAACAGATGTAGGTGTTTGTTTATTCATTTTTTAAGGAAACTCTACCCACTTAACTGGCAAGAGAAAAAATATTTATAATTTTTATGAAACTTATACTTTTCCCAGTGAAATAAACTTACAGTTTATATAGAAACATGACCTTTGTCCATCTATTCTGATTCAGTTTTGAAGCACAAAATTCTAGAAAGAATGAATCTGTAGCAGGAATATCTCTTTTCACATCTCTCCTTGTCTGCCTATGTGAAAGTCCACAAGTCATTCACAGCATAACACTCAACTATAGAGGAAGGCATGTGTAAGCCTAGGCAAGATTCAGCTGAGTCATCAGCTCCATCACAGGCTATCAGAGTCCTGTCAACAGTTGCCACCTTGAATAATTTCTTCTACTGATATAGATCTCTGCTTATCTTTGCTTACATAGGCAGGTTTCTCATCACTCAATATAGGATAGACTATCATAACTCTAAAAATGAATATTTTTCTTCTGATTTCCAGCCTGAATTTAATTATACATACTTTGTTCTTTGCCCACCATGCCCTTTATATCACATCATTTCTGCAGGTACTCTCTCCTGAGAAATTTACAGAGAGCAGTCAGACTCGAGCTTATTATATGAAAAAATGTCAAAATCTTACACTCTTCTACATGAGAAGCTTTCCAATTCAGATGTTTTCTGCACACTTCAGTTTGAATTATTTAAAACAGATGAATAGAAAAATATATAGGAAATAACAAAATAGAACTATACAAGCTTTACATAGGTTTGTTAATCCTTTGCTATTTCTATTTCACATACTTTGTCTAAGGCACATTAGTGCCAAATCAGCTTCTTTCCATAGGTGTTCTGTAGTAGTATGACAATTGACCGAAACACTCAGGATATTTTTCTTCTTTCCTACTGCTAAATACTGACAGGGCTCAGTATTTTGTATTAATTCTGGCACGCACGACCTTCTGTTTTCATCACTGCAGGACCTCAAGGTCACTCACTAAATTCTGCATAGTATCTGGATCCTCTTTCTTTATTGGCATCCTTTCTACCTTCAGAATGTTAACACATTTCAAAAGCATTATTTACCCTGATATTCATAATGACTAGTGCAATAGACAGTACTAAACAAGATGAGGGTGTGAGGATTTCAGCTACTAAACTCCCTTCAACCTAATGATTTTCCTTTGTTGCATTCACAGAATTACAGAATTGCAGTTGTTTTAGAGGGACCTCTCTGAAGATCTAGTCCAAACTCCCTGCTAAATTCTAGTTTCATTGGTAATCTACAGTTCTTTTTTCTAATTCTTTAAGGTTTTGTGTGGTTGTTTTTTTTCCTATCTTGATAATGCTTACAGTAAGATATGAAAAATCTTCACTGACATCCAGCTAGATCAGATCTGTGGAAGTTAAGACTGGCAGGGAGTTTTCCACAGTATCGTCCGATTGATATGCTTTTATCAAAAATACATACCAGTATTTAAAATGAAACTCAAAATAATCAGAAACACCCTGGTATTTATGCTTTACAGTATACTCTGGATTCTTGCCTAGTTTCTCAGAAGGCTCCACATATATATCAAGCCAGGTTTTTCACAAAACCCACAGATTTACAAAGCTTTTAGTAAAGTAGAAAAGAAGTAAAATCAGGCAATTCTAAATCTTTTGCCTTTCATTTGGAGTAAAGGTTGTTCAGATGCAAACTCAAGGCACAACTCTGTGTGCATGTACTGAGGCAGGGTTAATTGAAGGTCTTTCAGTGAAACTCTGTAGTATTAAACTTACACAAAGCTCAAAAGCCTAACTATGAGAAAATTAGTTTCCATGTATACTAAGAGCCTGACTGCTCTTTATGAAGTGTATGTAACAAAGGTATTGCACACATAAATTAACATTTCATATATCTTGAAAATATGAACTAGGATGGAGGCTAAGAAAAGACACTGAAAACTTATTTAGAGTGGGTGATTTGGCTCTTAAATTGCATACCATCATGAGAACAACAACAGTAAAATAAACAATTCAGGCTTGATACATTTCATATTGAGATGCAGTGCCATGCATGTTAATCACCATAATGAAACTCATCCCAAATTATTCACGTGCTGCATAATCAGCTTTGTAAAGTGATGCATTTCATTTTTTGGCAATAACACAATGTTCAAATCAGTAGCAATTGGAGCAAAAACTGTCTTTGTACTATTGTCTTTGTACTAATTTTCTTGATCCAAATAAAGTTTTAATAGAATCTAAAGATAAACCTTGAAGAAGTATGAAAATCCTTCTTTTTCTCTCAGTGAGCAATGGACTCAGCATTAGACAATGGAAGAGTGCTAGACTATTACAAAAAGCTGCCACACATGATGGGTTAAACTTCCCACTCACAATGGGTTGTTGAGCCCTTCCAAAATTATCACAGCAGTCTCTATTCATCCATGTACTACACTGGTAGTACAGACAATGAAAGTGACACAATTGCTTTCATTATTAGTGTCATTAAATGATCTGTAACATTATTAGCAGCAAGAGTGCAAATACAGGAGGCAAGCTGCTAAAGTAATCAGCATCAGACAAACGCTGAAAAGTTGTCAATAATCTGCAATCTGCATAAAAACAGATGCCTACTAAAATCAGAGAAGAAGCAAAGAACTCAAAGGTAAAGGCAGAAGTTTTTCAGGAGAAAACACAATAAATCATACAAAACTTGGAAAAGGAAAGGCATCTTTCAAATGTATTTTCTGCAGCGTGACCATAAATAATAACAATAATTAGTATTATTGTTGCCATTTGTAGTGCTATTACTTCAAGTAACCACAATCAAGAACCAAAATCCTGCTGAGGCAAACTGTTTACCCAAGTGTAAAACACCCTGTTTGCCCCAAATAGATGATGAGCTAAACTCAGTGGGACAAATGCTTAAGTGGCTTGTTGAATAGGAACTACTGCAACATATGCCTAAGGTTGGTATGTACTATACAGTCTTTCTCTTACTGGGAATTTATTTATTTACATAGGTCACTCCAAAAATAACGGTTCCTATTTATTTCCACAGAAACTACAACAGATACAAAGAGCACAATCACACAATTTGACAGAGCAAATTCACAGCTGCAAACCCTGTTTTTCAACACAGTCACCATCATCATCTATGAATTTTCACCAGCAAAGAGCAAGAAACCAGCTTCTTGTGCTCATAAAAATCTACACCAACAGAGGTGACCCACTGACATTGTCATCACCGCTGAAATGCACCATGGCCTCACTGTACTCATACCCGCTGCTTAGTCTCCATAAATGTTCAGTAAGCACAGATGTCAGTGGGTGCAACTTTAATTTTTTTTTTTTTTTTTTTTTTTCAGGGAGTAATTCATATACATCTTTATTTCATATTCACTTCCATGTCAGAAGCCATTTCGTCAGACTGCTCCTCTGCTGTCATCTACTGCACAGCAACAAAACATAATGAAACATTGGTGGGAAAGTTCAGTTTCTACTGCCATACCACCAACATCCTACTCTGACCTAGTGAGCCAACATAATAAAATAGGAGGCATTGCTTTCAGATCAGTTCAGTATAATATAAATAGCAAGGTTGCAGCCATGACTGGTTCAGTCAAATTGTTTAGACCAAATTTTTACAAAAACAAAGTCCTTGAATACTTGTTTTTAACCCATTAATTCTTCTTGATCATAAGAAAGGAAAGAAAGCTTCCGTTTTCAGCAAAACTTCATTATGACTGACAGCTTAGTGTGTACTTCTGAAGTCTAAACTTGAACTATGGCAAATCTGAAGCAAAATAAAACGAAATTGCAGGAATGCAACAACACACTCAATGAATTTTACCAACACTTGGTTACTCCAAAGTTTATCTTGCATGCATGGTGATGCATGGCAATACTACTGCCACATGATGAAGTCACCATATGGCAAGATCCATGAAAGTGTTCAGACCATTCATCTGGGCAGAGGACCTGGATAAACTGCATGCCTTTTGCCTTTTTGTTCTCTTCCAGGTATAAACTGCTGTAGCCTCTATGTTTTTGCAGTATTCATAAATCAGTGGTTTTAATTACAGTGTAGGTTTAATCTCAGCCACTAAGGATAAATGTTTAAATACTTTATGTATATAAATATAGTGATGACTTCATCAGAAGAAAAGTTAGGGTCTTTAAGGATGTTATGGCTGTTTGTTAACTGGAGTCAGGGATGGGTTAATTTTAATGAGAAATCTCAAGTACCAGAGGTCTCTGCAATTTGCTGTAGTACTTGTTTCTCAGGGGAACTGATTCTGAACTAAACCTCAAAAAATTCATCATAAAAATATTACCATAAAACCGGATAAGACACACAAATCCCTCTTCAAGAAAATAAATAAAACATCAGGTTTTATCCCTCTTCTCTAATTAACACAGCAACCTTTCTACTCCTTCCTCAAGCCTCCAGGGCAAATGATGTCAGACAGTGACATGATGCAAACACCCCAGTGAAAACAGGAAGCAGCTGGTGTGTTTGAAGAGGGAGTTATTGCCTAGAAATGTACACTGCTCTGCAACTCATTTCACACCTTTTGCGAATAAATAAATTGAACATGCTGACAGTAAGTCAGCTTTGGAGAAATTATAGTACGTATAGTGTGCAAATTTTATAGAGCCACCACACATTTTGATTTTTTTCCCATTTGCAGAAATGGGAAAGATATACAACATAAAGAGAAACAAAGAGGACTGTGTAGTCACAGGCAGAGAAAACCATCAGTAAATGATGACAGAGGAAGACACCCACATCTGACATTCTGATAATAGGCTTATAAAGGTGAGAAAGACTTACAGTCCTCTTATCTCCCACTCTGGCAAGTTCACATCTTGCAGTTCAAGAAATATTCGTTACGATAAACATGTGGATGACTATATCTCCGGCATTGGGAAAGTTTAGACTGTGATCAAAATAATCTCTTTGGCCCTTAAAGTCTGTCATTACTTAGTCTGCATTTTAACGTGGTAGAGACTAACCAATATTCTGAACTGTCTGGATAAATACCGATTTTTTCCATCCACCTCATAACTAAATAGTGAAGTCTATCTCCAGACTTCTCTCCTAGGACAAGTTAGTCTGAAATTTGGTTCATATGGAATAAAACGTACAGAAGACAACACTGTGACAAGCAATCCTCTGTACATTTTGATAGCAGAAAAGCTTTGGTGATTATTTCTTCAGCTGGGCCTAAGTAGGAATCTGATCGAAAGATTAATGCAATAGGATTCTTTACTTTGAGTTCAAATGTCTCCAGATCACAGGAATTATTCTAAACTACTCTCAACTTCTTGGCCAAGACAACGGACAGAGTATCACAGAATCATTTATGTTGTATTTCCTTGTAAAAAAAAAACCCTTAAGATCGTCGGTTCCAGACATCAAACTAACTCTACCAAGTACATCAATAAACCAAGTCCCTATGGATCATATCCACATGTCTCTTAAATATCTCCAGTGCCAGGGACTCTACCACTTTTACTGACAGTCTGTTCCAAAGCCTACCTACCTATTCCATGAAGCAATTTTTTCTGATATTTAATCTAAACCTCCCTCGGCTCAGCTTGAGGATGTTTCCTCATACGTGTAGACAGCAGTCAAGTATCCACAGTCCACAAATCCTGATAAGACTTTAAAGCTTCTAGAACCTAAGCAGTAGCATAATTAGATTGGAAATCCTGACGTACAGGGAGAGCAGTGATAGCTATGTTTCTGTAGTATTCCCACACTGTTAACAGTATTTTGAGGAGAGGGACCACTGATAAGTCAGATCACAGTCAATGAGTATATATTGCTTCGAACAAGGCTGTCCAAAGATCAAATTACTGAACACATTGGTCCTTCTTTGGTTGGCATTTAGCCAACAGACTGGCAGCCGCAGGGCAAAGTTAACATGGGTGCACATTAATGAGCAATGTCTAATTCAAAATACCTCTTCTGACGTTTTCTAAGAGGCCCAGAGGAAGCGCACAGTGAGGATATACCAAGACAAGATCTTATTTTGGAGGAAGATCTGCCATACAGCCTGCCATATTTAGCATTGATGAAGAACGCAAAACAACTGTTCCTTATTAGTTTGCAGCTTTGTTAACTTTGGAGCCACTACAAGAGGCAGGAGGTTATATCAGTAGACAACAGACAATGACAATGGTGAGAAAAAGATGTCTGTTTTCTGGATATTATAAAGAGCAAATCACAACATCCTGCAAATTGCTAGTACACAAAAGGTGGGATGGCAATATTTTCTCAGTGTTAGCGCCTTTCACCAGAGGTCACAATTTTTTTGCCTTTATGAAAGAAATCCGAAAGTTAATGGTAACAATACCCCAAAGTATGGTTGGATGAGGGGAATGAATACTACTGTATTTGGGGAAATCTTGAGGATGTGTAATAGACAATGCAAAACTTCACCACACTTTTGTGCTGCAAAGGGCCTGAAGGCACATGCACAGACACTGTTGATCCTACCTTGAGTTCTGCAAAAATCTGTATCAGTGTCACAAATCTTATGCAACAACAGTCAATAAATTGGAGTACACAACAGGAAAGAACAAAGCAAAGGCAACCTACAGTGTAAATAATTGGTTGATCAGTGAATCCAACATAAAATGCAGTGCATTAACATCTTTGCAGATGACATGTAAGACATTTTACCCTATTACAATAGCAATCCCAGAGAGTTTCAATTCATCCATTTACCATCATGCAGTAACCTAGTACAGCATCTTGGCAAATACTTAATTTAAGAGATAGTACTTATAAGTATGGTATGATTTGTTTCACAGATTAAAGAAACTTGACTCAAAATCAAACTTGACACAGGAACTGTGTTTTCCTTCAGTTTCATCAGAATTTTCAGAGTCTGCATGAAAGGATGAGGGTGATTTTGAGGGAAAACAACAGCAGTAGAAACAGCAAGTCACGTTAGCATTCTGACTTTGATAAACTATTTAAGGAGCATATGTTCCTAATTGTCAAAATGCCTGTTTAAAATGACCTGAAGTATCTAATGTGAATTCAGCTTCACAGCGTAGACAGTAAAAGTGTGAATACTTTTGTTTTCTTCAAAGAAAGCAGCTCTGAAACAGATTGCATGTGACACTGGAACTTAATTCACATCCAAAGATCTCTACTTTGCTGAAAGATACAACATCATACATGTAACATCAGCTCCTTGTCATCCTGCCACAGCACGGATTCCTGTCTGAACTGATGAATCAACAAACAAATTATACTACGAGCATAATAAGTGCTCGTAGGTGTGAATGTTCCAGAGCAAGAAAAAGGATAGCCAGAAGATTCTAGTTATTTGAGTACTGTATGGTGAACTGTGAAATGTCCTTACCATTCTTCACTCCTAAAAATCAAGAGACGGGAGGTTCTAATTCTTCAAGCTTTTACTGTAGTATCAGTAATGTGTAGCCAGTCACATATTTGTATAGCATTTTAGCAATCTGTGCGCAAAAGATGTTTATCTATGGATTCAAGAAAGCCATTGTAAATTCACTATTAACAGCAGCATTTGCTGGGTACATTTCTTAAGATCTGGATACGTTTTCTTTGAAGAGTGATCCACAAATGGATTGTTAAATAAAAATTAAAAAAAAAAAAAAAAAGAAAAGAAAAAAAGAAAAAAAAGTGTTTTCACTTTTACAGTTTCTGGGAGGTTCCAACAGCAAACTGCAGAAAACTGCAACGTTGTTGCAAATACAACAAAGAATATCCTGGCGTAAAACAACAGTAAAAGAAAATAAGAAATCAATAAGTTTTTAGGACGATGATAGAAGAACCAATGAGATAATTTGGACAGAATAATATAAGATACATCAAAATAGTCTTATTGATGCACGTCTAGGTGCCAGTACTGTCATTTAAGGTATGTCTAAGCATTTTGACTCTAATCAATATGTTCTGCTTGCTGTAAGAGAGATTAAGCCCCAGTGATATATGACTACTTTTTATACATGTTCAATATAATTGCTGATCCACTGTTTTCAATCAGCATTTCCAAGGACATGATAGAGATCCCCACTTAATCATTCTTCAGCCTCAGAAAGACGAAAGAGGAGAGTCAATAAATACTTGTAAATAAGCACTCTGGAGGATGGGCTAAAGTTACCTTCAATTTCCCACTGAGAGAATGGATTGTCCACACCTCATCCTGGGATGACAGATAGAAGTGTGGAGGCCCTTCAAATGATTGTGTATAAATCAAGCAATGCAGACTCTGCAGAAGATGCCTTCGTAACATAAGGAGCAGGGTCCAGCTGCAAAAGGAAAACAAAACAAAACAGTTAGAATTCTGGAATTCTAACAAGATGTTCTGATTTTCAATTTTGATAATCACAGAATTGTAAAGGTTGGAAAGACAAACAGATCTTCAAGTCCAACCATCAACTCGTACCTGGGACCACTCTAAACCATGTCAACTCAGTGCCACATCTACTGTTTTCTTGAATATCTCCAGACACGGTGACTTCACCACCTCCGCCACTAAAATTTTGTTTTAAAATATAAGGTGTTGTTTCTTTAACAGAAGTACACACCAAGTGATTGCTTGCTATACTCATTTGTACTTCTCGTTGGTCATCACAGTGGTTTCTGAGGTTCTTCACTCAATGGAAATCAAACACATTTGTGAACTCCTTAGGCTATTAATGCACACATAACCAAACAAAACTTTGCTGCTATTGCACAGAACAACAAGCATTCTTATAAGCTTCTCATTCCTGACAATATCTGATGGAACAAGTGTGCCTTATATAAAATCAAAGCAGAGCTGCTGCATGTGTTGTTATTTAAATATTTATCAAGAACCATGTATGCATCCTGGCGTGGTAGAAAACATAAAAGTACACGATGTCCATGCCACACGGAACGTACTCTCTCAGCATACGCGGTGGTGTGCGACTGTGGATAGTAATTGTTTTGCTCACTAACACTTTAATGCTTTATCTGACACTCAGATTCTGAACGTGTTGAGCCCTCCAGTGTTCACAGTGTTTGAGAAGCTCTAGATAAACTCAAAGAGAACTCTCCTTTTCACACCTGTTTTTTTTTCTTTTGCTGTATGCTTCATGCCACCAAAACCTAGGGCCGGTATGAGAGAGTAAGTACAGCTAGCAGCTACAGTACGCTGAAGTATCAGTGTTAGCCTTTTAATGGGCTCAAATTGTCCTTTCCTGGTATGAATTAGCCTCACATTTACACTAAAAGTCACAGGAGACTCTCTGGGGCATCATGCTGTGCCTCTGTTATTTGGGCTGCCTGCAGCCATGCCCTGCGGGTGCACCATCTCCTGCTGGGCAGAGCCTGGGTGCAGCAGGGATCAACAACCTGCATGCATGCAATGCGAGCATGCAATTCAAAAGCAGTAATAGATTGAGTCAGACCAAACCCTGAACCTTTCCTCTTTTTTTCTTTCCCTTCCACTGCACTGTTGGGTAACGTATACAAATCTGGGAATTCTGCCTTTTATGTACTACTGATGCAGGTTGCAACCACAGTCAAGGCTTATGCCCAAGTGGCAGTGGATATTACACCTAATGCATGTGACCTTTAAATAAGCAGCCTGAGTTTAACTGCTGCTTATCTCTGAGATTTCCCAGTGGCAACCTTATATCGAAAGCAAGGTGTTATCAGCACTTAGAGAGACCATACCAATGCATCACATCTTTGCAAGGATCACAGGAGCCTGAAAGGTCTGAAGGAAAACCGATAGTGCCATCATTTGTTTCATCTCAAAACTATTGTGTTTTTGAATGCTCTTTCCCTTAGGATGCACTGCAGAAATGAAAATGGGATATTTTTTGCACCATCACTATGTGATTTAAGTCAACTAAAGCAGGTTTCTCCAAAGGCCTGTCTCACCTAGTAATCCTGGTTGGATTGTAGCTGATGATAGTTACTGGTAGATGTAATTACATAATGGGTTCACTCTGTAGAACAAACAATAACGATAACAACCACATATCTAATTTCCAAGGACAGGAAACAAAATAAACAAACAGTAGAACAAAATGGAATAATGTTTCAGAGAAAGTTTATAAAGATTTCAAGGTCAGTCACAACAGTGCTTTCTGTAATGAAAAATTCAATTCTAAAATTAGGATATATTTTACACTGGAATTTGGCTTCCAATAGAGCTTAAAGGATCATCCTGCAAGGTCAGTATTTCTGTTTCCCATGCCCACAGCCCATAAAGGAGATAACTATGGCATTTTGAAATTCTCATGTTATTACTGTGCTTAAGTCACACATTTTATTTTCATTTGGTTGCTTGGTTAGTGATAGATCCCACCGTCACTCACGTGTAGAATACCCTCCTAAGGAATTTTTTAGTGCCTTTAGTGACAGGTCCCAAAACACTCTGAGTTGTATAGAATTTATTATACTTAGCACAAACAGCAATTTTGGCAGCATCTGTCACAGGAGTACAAGTGATATCTTGTTATGAAAAAATATGCAGAGAGAAGAAAGCAAGAAGTTTTGGTGCAATGCCTCCCAGGGGAAATGGTCTGCCTGACCATATTTTGGCTCATTTGTCCGTGGTGATAGTTATCTGCTAAGCTGCCATTATCAGGAAATCTGAAGTGAGAGCATGTCACTGCTGGCAGAATTCCCAGTAGGTATAAATCAAATTCCAACTTCTGAAATGCCGAATCAAGAAACAGATCTTTCTTTCTCAGAGTCCTAACTCCCATAAGCAGGCGCTTTTATCCAAATAAACCAAAATAATTAAAAACATATTTCTTTTTTATTTTTTATTAAAAAGCAAAACTTGCATGCAACTTAAACACGAGGTTGCAGCAAAGAGATAAGGTGTACTATAATAAAGGTTAAGATAAACACAGACTAATAGTTTGTTATAAAACCTAAATTATAATATGCTACTAAAACATAAGATTTATGTAAATAGCAGCTCAGATTAACCATTTTTAAAGTCTAAGGTCTGTATGAGACTGTGATCCGTTCATTTCTTCCAGTGCTCTCTGTAGTACAGGCTAAATTACTTTGTCTAGCAATTTCTACATCAAGGCTACAATTCTAATTTGATCTAGATTTCAAAACATTCTCAGTCTTTGATTTCCAGGGATAGAGATAAAAACATATCCCTAGATATCAATTACGCCAACAATTAAACTACCCTGTACCAAAAATGTGCGTTCTGTCCTTGGGATGAAATTGTCTTCAATTCCCTCCATCAAATGCCATTTTCTGATATAAAATAACCATCTACTTTCATTTTGATATGGTCAGAGATCGTTTTGCCTGGTCAGTATCTCTTGACCTTGCTTGAATCATATCCTAATCCATTCCCTGTCTAAAATACAAAAATAGCTGTTGTGAGCAGTGGACTCAGAACAAGTTTGCTTTATGTGGAACATTTTTACAGGTTATATTTGAACCTTTCCATTCCAGTTCTACAGATAAATAACTCACTAAAAAAAAAAAAAAATAGTCTTCCTCCATCTCAAAAGAATTGAAGTATGCACCAAAACATTTTAGCCCACTGGACTCTGCCAAACTTCAGAACTATAAACACATTGATTAGGTATCAGATCAGATCCACATGGAGAGTTTGCTTTCTACTATTACATTTCTGAACCAGTGCTTAGTGATATATATACTGCCCTCTGAATAGTTATAACATTAATACATTGAAATGAAAAAGCATCTGCTTCTTCATCTTTGTCCCTTTGGTATTTCTTTTTCATTTTTTATGACAGATACTTGTTTCCATTCAACGTTACATGCAGTACATTCTTTGACCTCTGTGCTAAGACCTGGTAGCAGGTCTGTAAGTAAAATGCTATTTCCCATTACAGTTTCTGATACTGCCATCAGCAGTAAGCCAGTGCTGGGGAGGCTACTGTGAGGTCAGAATAAAATGGCCATCCCAGCTGAAAGCCTGTAAATGCTCTGGAAATTCCCTTCTACAAGAAAAACAGTTTTCCCAACTAGAAGACAAAGTGACATACATGATTTTTTCAACATTCCTAGGTTTTAATACCACCAAAGATACACATACAAACAGAAACAAAGAAAGAAAAAAAAAAAAGATGCCCAAAACATAGCAATTTTTAATATGAAATGCAGTGTTTACTACTGGAATGGTCTTGTTCATTATCAGGGATTAATTAACATAATCAGAGAAGCACTTTATAATATGCTTGAAGACTCATTACCTACATTTATGCTTAACTCTGAATTTTTGCCAAAAGCTAGGATGAAATGTTTTGTTTTAAAAGAATGGATTTCAACACGTTTAACTGACTTGTCAAGTAGAGTATCCTTTCAAATCAATGAAGAACCTAACTTCTACTAAATTATTATTGGTTTTGAATTTGTGCTTTGGAGGAGCTGAGCCAAAGGTCTGTGGAAAGGATTAAAAACATAAATCATAAGCATGATAGTTCTAAAATATCTAACATAAGATACTGAATAAATAAATTAATTTTGCTATCTTGTTACTGTGATAATTTTATGCATTAAACACAGCCCATTCTTGTGAGGAAACATTAGCCACTATAGTATTTTGGAGCTTGCATAATGTAAGAGTTCAGGAAAAATATGCATGCTAGCTGATAATAGCTTCAAGAGCTTATTTTTCTTTCTTTTTTTTTTTTCCTCCCTTCCTTAAAGAGGATTAATCTTACTTTGTCTGGTTCTTAGCAGCTAAAGACAATAATATGTATGAAATTAAACTGAAATTACTTTCAAAATATAAAAGAATGTTTGGGGAATAAAGTTATAAAAATACGGTCAACAGCCTGCAATACAATTAAATCCAGAACCCACCACCAAATAAACTCTGCAAGTCAATGGTCACAAAACTGCTTATAGAAAGTCACTAATTTTCCAATTTTTCACAACAGATACTTAATTAAAAAAGAGATATGTACTTCAGATTTGTACATGTATTAAAAAAAAAAAAAACCAAAAAAAGGAAAAATAGGAAAGGAAAACAGGTTAATGTTGCTTTGAGTGAATGAGGATTCAGATCACCTACAAATTACAGGCATTCACAGAACTGAGTATAAAAGAGTTGCATGGTAATCACAAATGAGAACTGCTTAAAATTGAAGGGTTTGGTAAGTGCCAACTAATTAATGCTCTTAAGAACACTAAGTTCTAAGTCAACAAATATAACCAGTTTCATCTTAAGTGAAGCAACATAAAAGATGGATAAACTCTAATCATCCCAGCCCTGACAGATGTTTCTCTAATCCATTAGTTCCTATACACCCTTGGCAATCCCTCATGG